CCCACCCTACCCCCACCCCCTGCCGCCGTTGGCACCCTCCGCGGGGTCAAGCGCACGGACTGCACATACGGAAACGCCCGAACAGGAGTTCCGTATGTCCGCAGACAGGCCGTAAGACGGCCGGCCGTTGAACGTCCGCGGACCGCCACGTGTCTTGCGCGCCGTCTCCGTCGTCTCCGCGCTGGTCGTCGTCGTTCTCGTCGTCGCCACGTCCGCGTCTCTCTCTCTCTCTCTCTCTCTGTCTCTCTCTCTCTCTCTTACACACACACAGTCTTTCTCTCTCTCTCCCTCTCTCTGTGCTTATGTTTCTTTGTGCCCCTCAACGAAAGAACCTTAAAGAAGAAGAAGAAGAAGAAGAAGAAGAAGAAGAAGAAGAAAGAATATAAGAAGAAAAAAGAAAAGGAAGGGTTCTCTCTCTCTCTCTCTCTCTCTCTCTCTCTCTCTCTCTCCATCTCTCTCTCTTTCTCTCTCTCTCTCTCGACGAAGATAGAAGATTCGAAGAAGAAGAAGAAGAAGAAGAAGAAGAAGAAGAAGAAGACGAAAGAAGAAGAAGAGAAGGTAAAAAAAGAAGACATGAAAAAAAAGGGCGAAGAAATCACGAAAAACAAACGAAGAAGAAGAAGAAGAAGAAAGATGAAAAGGGAGATGAAAGAAGAAAGCGCAGAAGGAAAAAATACAAAGAAAAGAACGACAAAGATGAAGAAGAAGAAGAAAAAAGAAGATGAAGAAGAAGAAGACGAAAAAGGAAAGAAGGAGAAGAACAAAGAAAGAAGAAAAAGAAGAAACACGAAAAAAAAAACGATGAAAAACATGAACAAGAAGAAGAAGAAGAAGAAAGATGAAAAGGAAGATGAAAGAAGAAAACGTAGATGGGAAAAAAACAAAGAAAAGATGAATAAGAAGAACTTCAAGAAGGAAGAAGCTCAAGAAGATGAAGAAGAACAAAAAATGAAGGAAAGAAGGAGAAGAAGAAAGAAAGAAGATGAAGAAGAATAAAGAAATAGAAGAAAGATAACTTGTAGAAGAAATGGAAGAAGAAAGAAGAAGATGAAGAAAAATAAGAAAGAAGAAGTAGAAGAGAGAAAGGAAGACCGAAATTGACCTTTCTCTTTCCACAAACTTTTTTTTCTCTCTGTCTCTCTCTCTCTCTTTGTCTCTCTCCGTCTGTCTGTCTGTCTGTCTGTCTCTCTCTCTCTCTCTCTCTCTCTCTCTCTCTCTCTCTC